TGCTAAGAGACTGACTGACTACGGAAGTCGATTAGAATATATCAAAATCTTTAGGTAATTCCATTATACTTTGACATGGTTTCGACACACTAAAATAAACTTTCTCCAAAAGAAAAATTAAATGAATCTGAATCCTTATAACACCCAGAAAGACTTCTACCGGCTAGTAATAAAGTTAGTGCCATGCATAAATAACAAACCAGTCAGACATATCGAGATTTGAAATGAAACAATAAGTAAGTGAAATTCCCACATCGCGCCGTACATTGCCGAGTGGCAAGCGCCGAAGGGATGGTTGCTATGAGAACGGTTGGTAACGCGTAGCAAAGATGAACTGCAGTTTATGAATTTTTTAGATTCATATATGTGAAGGCAAAAACACACTGTGATTTTTGGAAGAGGAGTGAAGCTATATGTACGTACATACGTTCAAATGCAACGATACTAAAAGCATAACTAACTATATATGTATATACTTATTTGCAAATTTATGGTATAAATATGTCTGCGTTGTTGGATCTATGCGAATTGTGGAGCTGCGAATATGCCAGTGCGTCTATACTTATTGCTAAATGGTTATGCATAAATGTATGTATGTATGTTTGCGGATAGGTAGAAGTGTGTGTGTGCTAGGTTGTGAATTCCTTAGTCACACTTCAGCATTTCCGGCATTACAATTGGAATCGCAACGCGGCGTTAATGGCGAGCGGCAATAAAACCGTGTGTACGCCGGTGTGTATTGCGGGGGTTGGTGAGCAATTGTTGCCCTTTAGAAAAATCGACCAGTACCAAACTGGCGTGATTTTAGAGTATTTAGAACAATGATTAGCTGGCGTCAGTTTTCTTATCAGTGTAAGATATTGGAGAATTTAACACAGCGTCGTCTTGGGAAATAGAGATTTTGCTCTGTTGCGTATTTCATTCGAAAGTTGTGAAAAGGTGGAACTTCACTCCCACTGTTCTCGCAATCGCGATAGCCGATATGGTAGAGTAATGTTGGGCGATTAATCGCAACGACTATTATACCCTGCGATGCTTCGATGGCTCTAGAGTCGAATAATGTAATTGCGGGGCTCCGGGCTGGATGTTTTCAAAAGAGAACTGACAGACTGGCAGCATGTAACTTATCTCCCCTATACTGCGATACCCAGAGCACCCAGAGGCTAAAGTTAACTACATACAAAGTTGTAACAATCTAATCAGCAGGATCAACGGATCTTCGACCTCGGAACATTTATTAAGGCAGATTATTGATACACTCTTCTGGGTTCAGAAGCCACTCCTTGCGCTGAACAAATTCCTTTCCAAATATTGCTCAGATAGGGTCTATAGATTGTTATCCGCAAACATTCGCCAAACTTGTTGACTTCTGCGCGAATGAGAATATGTTTCCTAGACGATTGAGGCACCAAAACTTGGTGCTCAGACACGAGTAGATGGAGCCTAATGGCGATCCAGCTACTTCCATGCTAATTTGTATGCTCGAAACCAAAGGAAAGTTGCTGGAACACAAAACGACACTGAAGATTGCACAACAATGAAATCGGTTTGTCTCAAAACCAGATTTGAAAAGGGATAAGAAAATTCGTTCCCAAATACATCATATATGGAAGCTTTGCACCGAATCAGTTTGGCCTTCGAAAACTCCCCTAGCGAATGTAATATTCAGAAAACGCTGGAAAGCAGGCATCATCGAACATTGTCTTGTTGTCCTTCTATATGTCAAAAATGCCTTAACTCGGCAAGGTGGCTCAAAGCTCCATAAGCGTTTCAGAATTTCAAGGTTTTTGTGCGAATTGGCGAAACAAAAGACAGAATAAGAAACGGTACTTTGACGGTAGGAGGTTTAGTTGGGTTAAAGTCTTACACTGACGGTTTTGGGTTAGATTGTAGAAGCTTGCTCCTCGCAAAAATATCAAAACATTAATCTTCTTGTTATCAGCAGTGGAACACACTTAAGCCAATCAGCATACTGAGATAGCACATGATGTTTTATTTTTCGTTCATACATTTACGACAGAAGACAATTGCGATTTACTCTGTGTGTGTATTGGCGGTGTATCCTCATTACATAATACCCAATAGTAATATTTGCAACTGCACTAAATGAGGGAAAATGCAGGGAGGCTAGACTTTTCTCAGCGAAACCTTCCTAGTAACCCAAAAAGTGAGTCGGTAAACGATTAAAAATGATACTATGATGAGATGCAGAGAATTCCATCCTACAGCTGAGTTCTCAACTTGGAATCATTGCAATGGACCATTGAATCAAGTTTTTGCTGTTGGGCCTCTGGCCCCAGTCTGGAGTCCAGCGAAGTACCTAATTTTAATGCGGGTAAGTGACCCACAATAAACCAATTCTCAGAAAGTAACTGGAATAATCATCAGAGTTGTCGAACGAACAAATCTGCTGTAAGAAAAAACTTGTTCTAATTTTTATGTTGCTGGGACCAGGGATCGAATCCAGGTTCTATGGATTGGAGGTACGCACCTCTAACCACTCAGCCACAATGGTTGTGGGAACATTATTATTTATATTATATAACTTAAGAATTTTCCCAGTTGTTCTAACTAAACTATATAACCTGACTAAGCTTCGAATTCGTTCGATGGTTGCAGATTTCGCAGATGGGGTATGGAATTTGCACTACACATTTTGGAACGGTGTAATCCGCTGATCCAAAAACGTAAAAGACACTTGGGGATTACATAACCGAAGGTGCGAAGAGGCTCACGTTGACTTAATATTAAAATTTTTTTTCGGTTACTGAATTAATAGAGCGACAACAAATTAATGAAGGCAGCATAGTAAAAGACCGCAGTTATCTATCGCCAACTACAATAATACATAACTTTCTAAAGCATGGCAATATATATGACTGCACTCATCGGGGAGTTACTATTGTTTCTTATGCTGACGAGTGTTCGATAATGGCGTCTGGGAATGGAATTGATGACTTCTGCTCGAAAGGAAACGGTTATCTCGACGAGCTTTCTGGCTTCTTCACTGCAAGGAGTCTTATCCTCGGCAACTTTATTCACCACCTGGACGACGGAGGTCAGACTGCAACGGGATATTCACGTCGATGCCAAACCAATCGGCGACAACGTTGATGGATGAACCGACCCGAGCGAGGTTCAGTAGCCGATACAACGGCTACAACAACTGCACTCTTCGGATTGCCTTCCATTGCATGCATGCATGGTTATGTGTGCGAGTCCAATCTCTCATAAGATGCTTAGTTCGTCTTTCAAGAAGAATTCTTACAAGTTCATCCAGAGTAAATTCTGCCAAGGAAATTCTTCTTTCAAAAATGGGCAGAAAAGTAATGCGAAGTGGTGTATTTTAATTTTTAAGGTTTTCTCTGCAGGGTTGCAACTGTTGGTTTGCCAATGCATAGCTCGCACTAGTGTTAGTATGTGCACGCCACAAATTGCCACAAATAAAAGGGAAATCAGCGGAATTTTGGAACATTTGAAAATTTTATGTCTTCATTTTCTTTTGCAAAAATTTCAGAATTTTATATCACCAACAGCAGCAGCAGCGTGAACGGTAGCAGCTGGGTGGATGGGGACGCACAACACGCAGGACGCAGCACATCAAATGAGGGCATGCGATTGCATGGCTGCCACATTGTCTCCTTTGCAATTTCAGTTTCCATTTCAGTATGGCAGTAAATATGTAGTTTGGAAAGAAGGGGCCGGATGCGGGTGGTTGCGTGTAGGTACGATGGTTTGCGAATATTTTCGCGTTTTATGTTGGGGTTAATTTAATGATTTTGCAAGTTCATTGCGCGCCGTCAAACTGCTGCAAGCGCCAAGGTAGTGTGCTAGCTACTACAAATCTGTTATTAGCTGTATGCGTTGCTTTGCAAAATTCACTAGCGGAGGAGGAGGCGGAGGGTGTGTGAAAATAGAAAATCCATAAATTCATAAAATAATTGCGTTGCGCCATGCACATGAATGCGTTATGATGCTACCGAGTGCGCCCACGCTCTGTTGAATGCGTAGATAGTATTCTAGTTATATGTTTAGGTACATATGTATGTATGTATGTATGTAACTAGATTTGTACATATGTTTCGCACACTCACCGCAACTTGCAACAAATGCAGGCAATTTGCATGCGAAACGCTTTGTTTAGAATATAGCGGCGATTTTGTAGTTGCTACTATATTAGATACATATGTGTGCGAAACCGTACTTTAGGGTGCAATACCAAAAAAATGTGGGTTTCCACCGGAATTATAAAACTTGCTATATTTTAAGACTTCCGCCAAAATATTTCGGAAAAATATTAAGATTTCCGTTAGCTGTACCGATTTGAAAATACCTGCAAAAATCTAATAATTTTTATTCCGTTGATAAAATGCTTAACCCTTAAGAACCCAAACTTGCCGGTGGACAACTTCTCATGTTTCGAGTCTTACAAACATTTTTGTGCAGACCTTTTAAGCTTAAACGTTTCTACGTATTATCTGCGTGATATTTTGGAAAACAAATTTTTTAAATTTTATTTATAAAAAAACTCGACTTTCGGAGGTATTTTAAAATTAGTCAGCTAACGTAAATTTTTAATATTTTTTCGAAATATTTTAGCGGATGTCTTATAAGATAATACATTTTCTTTTTCCAATAGAAAAACCGCACCAATTTGGTTGTTTGGAGAGTGATGCACCCTAATGTCCTTAAACGTATATATGTATATGTATGTACATACATATAATCAAAACTGTAATATAAACGCTGGGTATACTAAAATTTTAGCGCGAAAGAGGCTAAAGCTGGGATCAGGTGGCTTAGCTATGGAGGGAGCCGTGGCGGGCTGTGCTCCACGTGCGGTTATATAATTTATGGCAGCATTAGGCGGTTATTTCGCGTGCTGTAAATTTGAATGCTTACCTCTTTAGAAATATGCAATTTCGGGCATAATTTATGTAATATTATCCACGCTTTTAATTAATTAGTTCAAAGTTTTCCAAATTTCTTCTCTCTCGCAGGCAAAAGCTTCAACTTGAGCATTGTGATATCAACTAACCCCATACAGGTCGCCACTTACAATAAGGCGATCAAAGTGACTGTGGACGGACCGCGTGAGCCACGCTCCAAGATACGGCATCAAGGCTTTCATCCGTTTGCCTTCGGACCACAACGTTTCGGCCCTGGTGATCCTCTGATGGGTGGACTGCCGTTCAAGTTTCCAGGTATTTGATGTTTTATCTTTTTTCAGTGCATAATGATTGTGTACCAAGCAAATTGGCGACTACTTGATATGAGTCTCGACCGCTTCAGAATATATGTAGTACATATTGTACCACCGAACGAAGGTTCCGGATGTAGGCACACCCTCAAGTCAACGGTGGTCTTTCAACTCACCAAAGTCTTTCGAAAGACAAAAGTCTTTTGTGCGACAATTGTCAATTCTACCAGGTAGTTATACAGTTTTATAGCCTATTAAATTTTAGTAGGTTAAATTGCTAATTTTAAAACACTAAAAAATCGTGGTGATTTTTCATTTTTTTTTTCCCTGACGGTGCTAGGCATTTCCCTCCATATAAAAGTAATTGGCGAACATACTGCCAGGCAAACAAATTATTAAAAATCCACGCGATTTTTTAGCTTCTTGAAATTGCACTTTAACCTACTAAAATTTAATTGGCTATAAAACTGCATTAAAAGCTTAAAATTTTTGGGTGTAAATGTAAATTATTATTTTTTAATTTTAATAAATATTACACGAAGTTTGAAATGTGGCTTTATGTGGTGTTGGTTATGTTATGTGTTAAACTTTTATAGAAAAAAATATAAACAATTAATAGACAAAGAAAAATAGCCAAAAATAGCCAAAACTGGCCAAAATGTCACTTAACTTGATCAGCTTACCACAAAGGTATACTTTTGAAGTTTGCAGAAAAAATAGTTCATTGCTATTTTTTATGACATCGCCTGAAATAATTGAAGGTACAAATAAGACGATGCTTCCTCAAAAGATGACAATGTGTATCTATGCCAGTATTTGAGGCTTCTTGTACTTATCGCCACAGTCTTACCAACTGCAATAGTTCTTGTGGCCATATTGTTAATTCGTAATATTTATGGCAACTCTCTATTCAAAGAATATTTATTACGATTTGCATTGTGGTTGCCGCAGTGGCAGATATTAATCTAGCGACGAGAACGCTAAAATCCGGAGACATAGACTTCTTTAACCATAGATTAATGACTTCAACGATCACTAAACCGCTTTTATTCCATATTTTTGGGTATTGCGGTCTCTTATTAGAAATTCCAATATGTATTTCGGTACCGAGTATCGAAAGCATTGTATACTTTTTAAATCGGTACCGAGTTATGATCAAAACTTAAAGGTACCGACTCAGCACATCACTACAAACCGTGTGACATAATAGATTAAGTCATTGCTGCGTATATCCACTGTCGCTTTTTTATGTCGAATTTTTCACCAATAGCAGACTTGCAGGCATAGAGGGTAGTCCGAATTCGATTTTGGGGAATGTTTTCGGTCCGAGACTATTCTCAAGTATCTACATCTTTGTCTATTATTTAACCTGCTGATCGACCATATATATGATGCTATCTGTTTTGTATTCTTCCGCGCTTAATAGCCACTATGGACCTTGTGTAGTTCCAGTTAAGAGATATAATTGCAGCCTAACTGCCAGAAGCGAATGAACGATCTGTAGGTGCGAAAATTATCAGCCACAGAGCGCCTCTTTATTGCAGTTGATTCTGTCAGAAAAACGAACACTGAGCTTCAGCGCGACTTATCCGGAATTAATGTCCTTACCTACCCTATCGTACCTAGAAACATCAACAAAGATCAACGTTGACTCTGCTTGCACGTAGGTCTATTTCGACTTTCCATGCGTTCGTAACTGGGATTATTATAAACGATTTGTTTTAAAACAATGCAGAGGATTTGTATAATCTATATTTCATATGTTTTTTGGGAGAGTCTATAGGATCAGAGGCCTCCACACAAGTGATTTAACTTGGTTGCCTTGCCCATAGCTTGAACGTTGTCATATATTAGATCCCCTGCTGGAAAGTTCGAACTTAGTTTTGGAGCTTTGGTAGCAGTGAAATGTAAGTGAAATGTGCATGCCAAAGCTGTATCTATTTACTTATACGGTGTACGTCATTTTTTTAGTCTGTTAAAATGCAGAATGAGAAGGTGAAGAAATTTGTACGTTTTGCTATAACACGGCGTATCTTTTAATTTGAATGCCGTGAGTTGTTCCGAAGACGATTTAACTGTTACACTCTTTATACCTGTATGTATATTAGGTATTTATTTCATTTTTGCAAGTTTGTCGGCTTTCACTTTCAGTGCATTCTTTGATATAATCATTTTGAAGTTCATATGCCAATCAAAAGTCGATTATTCCCTTTCGCTATTCTCACTATCGATTGCGGTATGATTGTTTATTTTCTGCGCTGAAGGATTACCACGAGTAAAATCAACCCTATTTGCGACTTTAAACCGTTTATTTTGTTGTTGTGTTGTTAGCAAGCTTTTCAACGCACGATGCGGATAATACTTAAAGTAGCTTACTTGCTTGCCTAAATACTCATAGATTCAGAGAACGTATGTATGTTTCTACCGAAGTTTGTTGTTGGAATGGGCGACGCATCAAAACTGACTGACAAAATATTGAGACTCGAATGTTAACTGAAAAATTGCTGAAGGCGTTAGCGCGTTGTTAAGTATTAAATTACCATAAAATAAACAAACAAAGCCGACTACTTAGCGAATCATTAAACCTTATTTGAGTCACTTAAGGCTGATTCTAGATGGATTTGGAATTGGAATTTGCCTTCAGGCTAAACTGGTGTAAAATTTTAGCTCTTAATTGGTTGAATTGAATTTATCAAGGGGAAATACCTTTTGCATCAGCAGGGACAACGAAAAACCTAAAATTATTATAATTTAGAAGGCAAAAAACTGGTCCTAAGCAAACCCTTAGCGCACTTAGCCGGCAGATTGACTTGTAGTATATGTATGACCTTACTTCCACTGCATAGCTCCATACTTGTATGCTATAGAGTATTACCGATTTTAGAACCTCGGCTAGCAGTCTTCTGCAGGCTTGTTTTGGCCCTGGGAGGTATAGCATCATTATCGCGAGGGCGCATCACACCTTTCTCGTTTTCTTGCAGACATACTCGAGGTGATTCTTGAAAGTTAATCTCGCGACAATCTTACACAAAGATATCTTATCGCAGGTTTTGGGTAAATTTCACAGTACCCATGTTTCATGTCTGGTGGATTTTCCTTCCAGTGAATTGTGTGAATTGAGCCCCATTGTGTGAAGTCACTCAGACACTATCATGTTTGCGATGATTTCATTTAAATGCTTCACTGCTAAGGTAATAGCTATGCCATCAGCAAACCCCACTGTCGTTACCTCTTTCAGGAATCGCAGTCGCGGTACTCCATCGTACATCATGTTCCAAAGACGTGCGTGAAGGAACTTAATACGATTGTTCTAAAATCGTGAGCGTTTTATTTAACAATTCAGCGATTAAACCGATCGTTGGCTAAAGAAGCGAAACCGCAACAACAAATAAAGTCAATCAATAGAACGGATTTGAAATAGCAAAACCCAAAAAGAATTGGCAAAGCGGGGTTTATCCACTTCCGGATACAGTTTATGGTTGCATGAGGCTCTGAAAAAGCAAGGCATCAATGTGTGCGAATATGTCTTCCACCGTGAATCTAAAGAAAAGAAGAGGCTGTTTGTTCAACTATGGGCATTAAGAGCGTAACTGACTCTGGCTGATATGTTGACTCATGTGGATGCTCAAAAGTCAGAGATTTAGTCAGAGATAATACACTATTTAAGGAACTAAATACACAAAACAACTTAAAGAGAGACAAGAGCAAATCGAGAAGAAAAAGGACCAGATCGATGGGAAACGGGAAAATGTCGATGCTAAGCCAAATAAGAGTAAACGTCGTCTCCGTGATTTGCAGTGAAATCGTCCAGCTACTTTACCGAAGGCTCCCAATGTAAAATAAAGCGAAAAAGACGGCTACAGCAGACAATTTAATTATTAAAGACAAATCTGTTTTATTATTTGTTACATTGAAAGGAACTCGCAATATTTTCAAACTATTCCCGCGAGTGAAAGGGGAATTACGAGACGTTGAAAGACAATACAGTAGCGTAAATAGGAAGCAGATATACCATAAACTCGCAGCAGATAAAGCATAAACTCGTTACTTGGGGATTTTTGGTGTCGCTGATTACGAATCCGATGTTCGTTTTTAAAAACTCAAAATGGCGTGTGAATCTCAAAAATGTCATTGACACTTTTGAATAGTTGTCAGATTTGATTTTTTTGTACTTTTTTTTTGTGAAAGTACCTAACTTACTTGTGAAAGTACCTAAAGTACTTTGAAGTGAAATTGTGAAAAACTGATGCAGCTAGAAAGCTGCGGTTTATTGCATTGGAAAGAGTGGCCCGTTTACTATAAGAGTCGATGAAAAAGTGAAAACCGATTTTTTCTGACCGTAGGTCCCTTCTAACTTTACGTGTCACATATTTTGTTTAGTTTTCTTTAATTTTTTAATATTTATTGTGTCAAGAAAAATTTAATTTAATTTAATTTAATATTAACTTTTACATTTTTCCTAAGAAAGAAATCGTGGTATAAGCATTGCTAAAAGAAATATATATTTCTTAATTTTTATAAAACTTATTTCTAAACGACAAATAGAATAATTCCCAAGATCCCCGTGTTAGCAGATCTTTCAGTTAATCTTTTGAAAGACTGAAAATAGCTTTCGAGATAGTTGCCTCGAAGGACTTTTGTCTCTGTTTTGTGAGTTAACCGTTAACACCTTGATTGCTGCCTGTTTATTGACAAATAAATCTTGAGTACTGTAAACAGCTTTAATGTAATTTTTCAGCCCTTTAATGTGATATTAAACCCTCTCCGGCCTAAACAAAATTGTTAACCGACGTTTCACAAATTGTGCCAAGTGTTAAGTAACACGCACGTTAACATAAGAGTATAAACATCGTTGTTGCCTTGTTGAAGGATTAAATATTTTAATGGATTTTGCGTCGCTTAGATTTCTTATTCATCAAGGCCCACAAACGCAAATGATTCCATATATGTTTGTATGTATGTTCATATACTTAGGCACATTACAATGCCGCTTCACTCCAGAGC